GTAACTCCAAAAAAAGGGATATGTATATATATATATGTACATGGATGCTGATGGAATACCTGTATACTTACATCATTTCCCAACATATATATAAAATAGATAAATATTATATGTAATTCTGTATATATATATGTGTGTTCGAAATATACACCATGTATATATATATATATGTTCGAAAGTTGCTGGGATTATTATTGTAACTCATCGACACTACATAGGTATATCTAGACAGTTCCATAGACCCAGTTCTGGCGAAAGAAATATCCCATGATACCCCGTAATCCTCCCAAGAAATCTAACCCCACAATCGAAATCAAATGTCTTCCCATATCCCCAAAGAATGGTTGGTTTCTTGGAAATACAAATATAAATATATATATATATATACATATACCATCAATGTTTCCCCACTCATATTCCGCTAGTCCCCTTCATATACCATTCAAAATCAATAGTATCTCATTGAAGAATTAATACTCATTGATTATCCCGTTGATATTTCTTTTAAAAAGTAAACTGGTTGGTGATATACCTACCCCTCTGAAAAATCATGGAGTTAGTGAGTTGGGATGATGAAATTCCCAATATATGATGGGAAAGTCATAAAATTCCATGGTTCCAAACCACCAACCAATAAATTTCCATGGCAGGTTTCCTGAAATGGCGGTAACCCCAAATCATGGCTTCAACCATGCCATGGGGATGCCTATAGAAAAAGAACCCACATATTCCATGAATCAATGAATTCGGGTGCCTCCCCAAGATTTGGATTCGATGATTCGGCTGTTTTGTGTTTTCCATACATAGGATCCAAATATTTCCATGAGTTTCAGAAATATGTGGATCAAATTTTTCAATATTGAACACATTTTCAGTATGTTATATATGCATATTCCACACATATTCCATTAAACATTCATGTTTTCAATGAATTCCACTTTCTTTCCCATAATTTTAATGTTTTTTCTTTTAACCGTTTTAACCTGCTCGGTTCCGCCGAACGCGCGGTTCGTTCGGGGATTCCTTGGAGAAGGTGCATTTGCGGAACTGGAGCTCCTAGGAACCGGCGATGGGTGTTGTAAGGATTTAAAATAGGATTTCATGGGCTTTGACGGTGTTGTTCATGGTTTTTTTTCATGAGGTTATAAGAATTTACAAGATTCAATGGGATTTCGTTTTAGATTTTACAAAGATATAAGATATAGTGGTAAAAATATGGCATCGGCATTGTCAATGATACAAGGCGGCAGCCAGTGAACATTGATAGCCATGGGGATTTTGGCCATGAGATGGAGAGTTTGTTATGTGACGAAATTGATATCTCCAATTTTTACATTTTAGCTGATAATGATGTATAATATCTTATTATGATGATTATGATTTAGTAAACTAACCTTGGTAAATCATTTCATAAATAGTATTCGCATCTATTCAACCCAATGGTATTGCACCAAATAAATTACAATCTATTCAACCCAATGGTATGATATATTATTATTAATGATTTTGATTTAGTAAACTAACCTTGTATAATATATGATTATGATTATATTTCATAAATAGCTAATGATGCATTTTTACCCATGTAAGCCATAAGGAAAACGAGCTGATGATTCACGACCACCCCATTGAATCCATCGGATCATGGTCATTTTCTGTTAAAAATGTAAAAATGGGCTTTTCGCTGGGGGTTGAAATTCCACCATTTTCAGACATGCCCAAAAGGCAAACAGATCGCATACCCTCAAACATACAAAAAGCGAACTGGGAAAATCACCATTTGGAATAGGTAAATCAACTGTTAATGAGCCATTTTCAATAGCAACATGTAAAATTACCAGATGGCATATATTTCCATCCTCTCCATCCGTATACGTTTAAAGCCCAGCAACGGAGCTCTGATCGCGTCGGTGAAGTTCCTGGAAGGTCGACAGTAGGCCGGCAACGTGGTCGTTGGTGGTATACCTACCCCTCTGAAAAATATGAGTTCGTCAGTTGGGATGATGACATTCCCAAAATATATGGAAAAATAAAATCCATGTTCCAAACCACCAACGGATAACATCAACTGATTATTTGTCTGAATTTTGATTTGGGAGGATGATATTGCTTGTTTGTTGAAAGATGTTGAAAGCAAGCAAACTTTTGCATCTGTAGCTAGCATGTTTTTTCTTACTGAACATGGTTTCAATGGGGCCCCTGTAGCTGTCTGCTGAAGTCCAAGTTTGTCAGCTATGACAACGTGTTGTCCATTTCGCTGACAAAAAATGTTGGATGAACCAATAGTCCATACCATCCAGTACCATCCCAACAATACCTTCTCGATCTAATCAATGGATTGGTTTAGGGGAAACTTGGAACCGGAAAGCCCCATGATATCCCATGATCTTAATGGGAAAATCGATGGTTTCCGGTGAACATTTTCCCTTAGACCAATCCAATGATCTAAGGATCACCCACCATATCTGGGTGGTTTCAACCCTCAAAATTCACTGTGTAAGGATCATCCAGTGAGGATTGGGCGCCGATGGCCCCTACTTGAAGTGGGGTGCCGATGTTGGATATGGTCCTTGTATCATGGCTGGTTGGTGCAATAACCATCTTGAAAAATGATGGAGTGAAAGTCAATGGGAAGGATGACATCCTTTTTTTATGAAATGGAAAAATGTTTGAAACCACCAACCAGGTATAGTAGGCAAATAATCTATAAAATCTTGGATATGGTCCAACCAGATGGAATATCTGTAGTTCCATGGCTTTATTTTGCCACGTTTCTATATCTGGAAAGCGCCACCGACTGGAGTCATTGACCAAAGTTCTGGGCCCAAAACGGGCCCCGATTTGAACCCCCATTGTCTTGTCACCACTTGTCCTGTCAAAAAGGCCATGTAGTGAGGGCAAAGGCCACTATTTTTTTAGGGATAAAGCCAGTGAAACCATCATTCTTTGGCTAATTCCCGGCTCCTAATGATTAAATCATCTGTTTCCATATATATTGCCGTATGTCAGGAGATATCAGGGGGTCAATTCCACATGTTAGGATAAACCAAACCCACTAAACCATTACTACACATGATACTAACAAACTGAGAAGGTGCTTATATACAGAAACACACCAAAAGGAGTAATCCTTCAAGAAAACAGATAATTCGCATGGAAATCCAGTTATCGGGACACATCATCTTTTCAAAAAACGGCGCCGCTGGAGCCCCAACGGCCGACCCACCTGATTCTGTGCACCGGGAAGTCGAACCACCTGGTCGATGGGTGTAAAAAAACACGAAGAATAGGGATTGCCTAGCAATAATACCAATAATAGTGGTTATTTATGGTTAAATGATGGGATTATATAATATTATATATAGATATAACATATGCTGGTTGGTGGTTGAGCCCTACCCCTCTGAAAAATCATGGAGTGAGTAACAGTTGGGATGATGAAATTCCCAACTGAATGGAAAAACACAAAATGTTTGAAACCACCAACCAGATAATATGTGTTTCACCAACAACTGTGGTGGATTTTGCAAGCACGAAAAGAGAACATGAGGGAACCATCCAGCAGTCCGGAGTTCTGCGACCAATTTTTGTTCGGCTTTAACAAATAAGAAACTGGAATAGCATCAGCAAAACTTGGGGTTTCAAGCTGACCACTCCATGCTGCATGCTACGTAGAAGACCAAATAGTTTAAAACAATACCAAGACGCAAAACAACTATCCAAGTGATGAAATGACAGCTGGCACATGAAGTGGCAAACACAATAATAAACCCTTCAAGTCATGTTAAGCCAGGATTAATAGAGCGCTCTTGGAGTTTACTAATTGGGGGGGGGGTACCATTTTGGTACCAGGTTGTCACTATTTTGGGGAAACCCCTTAGTTTGTCAACGGGTGGTACTGTCAGCATCGATGTATCCCTGACCGTGTGGCAGGTAGTATCCACCCTTGTCTGGACGTAGAACCGCACCTGGTCCTCCCTTTGCATCCATCATCCTCACTCCTGTGCCAGTCTTCAGATCGGCTCCACTGCCACTTGTGCCATTTGCCATTGCTCTTATGTTTCCCTTTTCCCTTTCCTTTTGGCCACTGCGTCGTCATCCCTTGTTGGCATGCTGCCCATAGCCGTAGCCCTTGCCATAGTAGCCCGTATACCAAATAATGAACACACAATGGGCAAAATCAATTATTGGGTTTACCTCATTACCCATAGGATCCATGTATATCCATGTATGCTATATATGGTAACATTTACCATCAATATACCCCCAAGGTTAGTATATGTATATATATATGCCATACATGGATCCTATGGGTTACTCAGATTTTACGTCAACTGCTCACAGTAAGTCGTTTTTCTCACCAACTGCTCACAGGAGTCGTCAACCAACATACCATCTGGTAATCAAACATGGCAAATCCAGGATACTGTACCCTCTGGTAATTTGTCAAAATAGCTATTGAACATGGCCATTTATAGTTGATTTTCCCATGAAAAACATGGTGATTTTCCATAGTTTTTTTGTAACGTTGACCAGGCCGGGTACCTCCAATAAAATTGGTGACCTCCACCATTTGACCAATAAAACACCACCAAGGGGCTGCTTGATGGACATATCTGACATTGATCAACTCCCCTTGTCGATGCTTCAGGAAGAAGTCACCCGGTCAAGACTCGTCAAGTCACCGTCTCCATCCGTTTCCGACTCGACATGTTTCCTTCATAAAATCCACCCGAGCCATGAAAAAAAACCCCAAAAACAGATCCCATCATCGCATCCCAGTCTTCTGGCTGATTAGTGCAAATTCCTGTGGGTTAGTTCATAATCCCAATAAAGGTATAGGAATATGTTTGGCTGGTTGGTATAACCCCTACAGCCCCATAGAATAATCCCAACAATTCAGATTAGAATAACATTGGTTGGGTAGTACAACTCCCTATTCAGATTGGAATAACACCAACTTTCTATGTACAATCTCCCCTGACCTAACCTATCTAAATCTATCTAACCTGGCTCAACAGAGTTTCTTCACTTTCATGGCCCCCGGCCCTGGCACCCTGCGGCACCCCCCCCCCCTTCGGCCCTTCGGCCCTTCGGCCCACCTTCTCCAACTTCCCCAGCAGCAGCTCCCCGTGCTTCACGAAGATCTGCAGCGACGTCGACGACGTGGTCAGCGGCGTCTTAGCGAAGGGACGCCACAAGTCATCCCACTTGACCTGCAGGGATTTCCTAGCCATGGTTTTCTGATAGCCTAGATTTTCTATGGTTAAGAACTCCTATAAGTTGGGATATGATCATATAATCAATATAGATATATTTCATCATGAATCTCCACAAGGTGGTTCCCGCATGTGATGTTTGTGAGCCTGTAAAGCCCATGAATGCTATGTCAAGATATCTACCATAAACCATAGTGACCTACAAACCAACTTGGCGAAGTATGGGGCACCACCTTCTAGGGTTGTTTCACCATCAAAGATCTGGTGATATAATTGATGAACGATGGTTGTTTGGGAAACTGATGGGACAATCCCGAAACTACAATGGATGAATTTGAAGACATCTGGGCACTATTTGTGGAATTTTCTTTGCACTATGGGGATTTGCTCCAAAGGGCCAAGGGCCATCTTGAATTTTCGAGCAATTGGTATACTCAAGGTGACGATAACGGAGGTATTTAATCAACCTAAACGCAGATTTTCATCAGCAAAAATTGCATCTAAACATAACCAATAGAACTTGACCAATGAAGGATATTCATGGGGGATAGTGGGAATTAAACCAAACCACAAAGGGGATATAGTGGGATGCACATGGATGGGTAACAAACAAATGCATATGGGTTTGCAAGAAACTGGGGAATACGAATATACCGTAGTTCAAAGAGGAAAAATGAGGCGTTAATTCTTTGTAGTTGAGGGGGAACCGTTGCAATACAGCGGGTTGGTAAGTATCCTCATCAAAATCACACCATATTAGAACCTTGTTCTAAGGTATCCATCACCAGTGTGGTCATCCCAATTAATGTTAGTGAAGCAATATATGATCCACCATTTCCAATTTATTTTACCAAATATATGTGGTATAGTAAACCATCAAAATAGACATTGCTTTGCTAACATTCAATCCCTATTTTATACCCTCAGCAAAACCCCAACGAAATCCTAACAAACATCTCCACAATATCCCCATCAATTCCCATGGAATCCACATTAAAAAATCCCAGCAAAATCCCTAAATCCATCTAAATCCCAGCAAACATTCACAAATTCTCATTTCCACCATGAAACCATATGAAACCATATGAAACCTCCATATTGTCCAGAACTTTTCCGCTCTTTCTGGGTGAACTCATGGGCATTTTCCGTCCCGGAACCTCCTGGATGGCGCGGAAGGCTAAGCGCAGTTCCGCCACATACAGCGCGGCCAAGGCCACCGGGATGCTGTTGGGCGTCATGCCTGCTTTTTTCTTTGGGAATGGGTGAGTTATGGTGGATTTATGACATTTCAGGTTGATCGGAAGGATGATTTATGGTTGATCGTGGGGTTTACTTATGAACCAATATGATGTAAGATTATTAATTCATATGGTTTATTCTTCTTAGTTTGCTCATGGTTCACTCATGTTTTTTTGATGGCTTACTTCCGTTATGGATTAGTCGTTGCTTTATGGGATGGGATGATGATGGGGAAATGTGTAAATCTCACCGGTTGATGATGTCATATGTCATATACCCTGCAAACTGCACAGATCCAACATTTCGGGTTTCGAGGTATTGAATACTTGGGGGGAAGAGCACCCAGAAAGCATTTAAGTGCAATTGGTGCTCAGTTTTTCTCCAGTTCAACCGGCAGACCATCAACTACTGTAACAATGTCCCAAACGTTCTAACACCCCCACATTATTTGATAGTCTTGGGGGAGGTGAGATACCCGGGTCGATTTAACCTTTGGATATGCCTCAGCAATGAGAAATCCATTCAAGTCATTGTCATGGTGAAACAGGGGATGCGGCTCATTCTTCATACTCCATCAGGACCGAGAATCCTGGATAATTTCATAACCTATGATCGATCATCCCTATCAAAAAATCAGAGCTATCGGATATCAATTACTATTCAAGTTGCTGGTTGGTGGTTTCAACCAACCCCTCTGAAAAAATCATGGACTTCGTCAGTTGGGGCCCGATGACATTCCCAATATGATGGGAAAGTCATAATCCAGTCATGTTCCAAACCACCAACCAGTGATTATTAACCACTATTAACCATTATTAACCATCATTACCACATAAAACATCACAGGATAGGTGCCTGACTGGATAGGATCCAACTTCCATCTTCAAGCCGGATCTCTAAATCAAATCGCCCCTGATGGCCGCTGCCAGGGGCTTTTCTGCCCCTCATCCCCACCTGGACGTTTTGCGGCCTGCGCAGGGGCTCAACTCGAAAGTTTGGGGGTCAGGGACTCTGGTGGAATCGTTTTGAAAAACTGGTTGGTGGTATACCTAGCCCTGAAAAAATGTTCCAAACCACCAACCAGTGATGATTAACCATTATTAACCATCATTAACGACTATTATTGGTATATAATCACCTCAAGATTTGGAAGGCTTTGAGATTTCTTTTTTTTTGGACCCATCCGACCCAGATCGCCAAAACCTCCATGGCTAATTCGGGGAGTTCCCAGCCTTAACCCTGATGACACAAGAGGGTAACGTTTCAGTACATAGTGGTGCCCCATAGATAGTGTTCAGTTGGTTTATAACTACAACAAGTAGGACTTATGGTAGATATATCTATAGTTGATGGGGGTTATAAACTAACTTATAACTGGGGGTACCACATTGTAGGTTTCCCTCCCATCAGAACCACTCCGCAATGGCGGGTCTTTTTTTCGACGTGCCGTGGGCAGGTCAAGTGTCGCCACCTGTCACCTGAGCGCCGAATGTGTTGAAAATGGATCTGCTGGTGGGGGATTTCCATGATATTTACCTCAATGGATTGATTTAAGGGAAAATTGGAACCGGAAAGCCCCATATTTCATGGGAAAATCGATGGTTTCCGGTTAAGATTTTCCCTTAAACCAATCCATTGATTACCTTCATAGAAAACATGTCAGAAAGAAATATAAATTTTGACTCCAAGTAAAACTTGTACGGATTGTAGTCATGTATCTGTATGAGCAATAGTTTTCCGACCAATGTCCTGAAGCAATTTTCATCAAGACAGGTGTTGATACAGCTAAGGGAAGTACCCCAAAATGGGAGCTTTTGTTAGAAAACGTGATAGACATCCGTAGCTCACTGGTCACAAATTTTGACATGCCGATAATATGATAAGGATAGCAACAAAATCTGACACTAGAACACGTCTCGTTTGTTTCGCTTTAAGAGTTTTCCCATCGAATGGGAACTTTCCAGCCAGCCCCGTTTGAGTGCCGGAAGGCAATCCAGTGTGCCAACCGAGTTGATGCAATTTTATCCCTTTTTCGCTAGTTGAACTAGACACCCCCATCAGGTAAACCACGGAAGGTCTACACATTTGTATTGTTTGCATCACCGCATGTACTAACCCTTCCCTCATTTGTGTTGGTCAAAAATCCATTCAAACAACCATTGGAAAGAGGGTATGATGGCCAGCAAGGTAGCCTATCATGGCCAAGGATACCGAGCCAAAAACCATGCGTCTACTTCTCTATGGCTAAACCATCAAGCCAAGAGTAAACAATTCGCTAGTGTGAATCACTATCAAAATTACATCACCATCCAAACATGTAAAGCTAAGCACTTTATAGGTGGTTTGCTGTCTATGGATATTCTAGAAGAAAAACAACCCCAAACAGTTTGTTCGGCTTCTACTTACCTTCCGTTTTTGGTCATTTCTGTGTATCCAACTCTTCCTTGTTGCAAATGACAAGACAGGAATCGTTGATCCCCCAAAATAACTGCAAGAATCCATTCAGGAAATCCACCCAACCAGTGAAAGAAAATCTGATCAATCAAACCAGGACTATATCATCATTTCTTGTAGACACGATGCGTTATTCTCTTGCTTCCAAGACTTATGGCCAATCTTAGGTACCCGGCCAAAAACAAATTGGCCCATCATCATGGTACATCCCCGTCATTTGACGACGATCAAGAGATTTTTTTCGTGCCGATCACCGATCCCCCGATGGTCAGCGCAGACTTCAAATGTGCATCCATTAAAAAAGTGGTTTGGTTACCCTGTGGTAAACTAACATAACTATGGAAATTGGCCCATTTATAGCGGATCTACCCATTATAAATGGTGATATTCCATAGCTATGTTAGTTTACCAGAGGGTATATCTGTCTATATGTCGTTAATGGCTTGTGGAAACCAACATCTGGGGGCACTGCCTTGTAGTAACGATCAGCCAAGGTTGACTCACTGCACCGAGGTCTAGGTTTAAAAAAAGCGCTGGTGCTTGTGTATGCCCTGAATATCCCTAGATTTCACTGAAAAATCCCCATTGTATACCATCTGGTGATTTAACATATTGAACATCACCATACCATTTTAAATCGCTATGTTAGTTTACTGGGGGGTATCATGATATGCCATGTTTTTGAGGTCACATCCCTTTGTCATTAAGCATTCAACAAGGTTTATCCATCAACGCCATAAAACCCAGGAGCTTTGGGTGCCGGGAGCGTCGCCAGCAGGCTGGCTATCCTGAGGAAAAGAGTCTCCGTGCTGAAGCAACGCGAGCCGGGGCTGGTTTGGTGGCGATCCAATGGTGAGTTAACCTACAATCCATGGTGATTAAACTGGGGATACAGTGGGAATATGGTGTATATAATGAAGATATAAAATGGGAATCTAATGGGATTTACCATCCGGTGTCAAACATGGCTTGCTGAATCCATTCAGTTTGGGGATTTTCCTGCCATTATCGGAGGGCACATGTGGAACCATTTATATGGATATTAATATGTATATAAATCTGGTGTTTCCATACATTTAGGATCATTTAGGTATTTATCGACGATTTGTCATTTTTTCCAATCTTTTTTTTGTGGCTATTCAATATGGATTAATACATGAATTACCATCCGTACGGCTTGTTCCATGGTAATCGATAGGCTAACATAATTATGGATTAACACGGCAATCTCTGGGTTACTACACAGATATGAATTATCCTTCTTCTTCAAAATAGTGAGACTGGACCATCCTCCAACTAAGTTAGTCCCCGGTTCTGGTTCTCTGGCCCTTAAAGCTGCAAAACACAACACCCAACCTTTCACCATTTTTGATGATTGTGCCCGCCATTCCCTATATCCCCATCACTATTTTTTAATTAATATGCCCAAATATCAAGATAAATCGCAAGAACGTATCTCCAATTGTTCGTCATATCCCCAGTTCAATAGCTCCAAAATCCATGAAACTACTATGAACGCAAAATATTTCCATTATATCACAACTTTTCTTGGCTACTATTGGATATTAAGCGTTCTGAACCATAACTAGTTGGTGGTTTCAACCCCTCTGAAAAATGTGAAAGTCAGTTGGGAATATGATTCCCAATATATGTCAAAATAAAAATGTTCCAAACCATCAACCAGATAATATTTGACCGCTATATCCAATTTTTGTAATCCCTAATGGGTCTCTGTAAAATGAATGATGAACACCAACTCGATGAAAACCAATTTTGATCCAATGAACCCATCGACATTTTTCGCCAGTTGTTCACGATGACAACCCACATATGAAATGGAAAATAAAACATGTTTGAAACCACCAACCAGTGATTATTAACCATCATTAACCATTATTAACCATTATTCCCGTTATATATGGGAAACATGTTCCAAACCACCAACCATATGTGGAATATTAAGCAATATGAACACCATTGGATTGATCACTATATCCCACCATGATAGAGAAATATTAAAATCACTATACAAAAAAAACCATGTTTGATCACTATATCACTTTATCACTTTTATTGATCATTTACCTCCTGGTTATGACTAACATAGCGGTATAGATGGCTCATAGAAATAGATGGTTTTCCGTTCTTGAAAATGGTGATTTTCTATAGCCACGTTAAATCACCAGAGGGTAAATCTCCATTTTCCTATGGTCTTCCCATGGTTTCCCCATTAAAACCTCCATTTTCCAGCGGCTAAATCCACTGATCTGAGTTTTTTTGGATCCCCATCACTGCCTCGGAACTTTCAGTACCGGCATACCGGCTTCGGCAGCTTCGGCACCTGGCACGATCTGGTGCTCTGGTGGCGCGTTATGGATTTTTTTAACATAATTAGCTATTGAACATGGCCATCATAGCTATTGAACATGGCCATTTAGTTCATGAATTTTCCAAAACAAATGGTGATTTTCCATAGCTATGTTAGTTTACCGGAGGGTACAAAGAAACATGGGGATAGAACTGATTTTGCGTATGATATGTATTCTTCCATAGCTTTTTTTTGTTTTTTGATGGGTTTTGAAGTGGTGCTTCATGGTTAAAATTTGCCAAAGACTTTGCGGGGGTATCATGGGACGCGCATCACATGAACCAATGGAGCTCAACTGCCAGATCTTAAGCAACCAAGACGGGGATAGAACAGCGAAAAAAATGGATGTTTTCTAAGTTCAACAACAACAATACCCCTTGAATGTGGAAGCCGATAATCAATGGTTGGGTTTTGAGGTCCCATATTTTGCCCACATGAGGCGTTGCCGGACGTTGCCACACGAAAACAAGTGGGTTTGAGCAGCACGATTCGGCAAGGTGGTCAATGGGAAGGATTCTCCCTTTTTTATGAAATGGAAAATAAAATTCCATGGTTCCAAACCACCCAGATATGCTCGGAGTTCTGAATGATTCCCTGCGATGGTGATGGATGGTGAACATCTGCGGATGAAACATGGACCCAATCAAGATCCCACTTGAAGCCACCTCAACTGCTGCAAACAGGCAGCTATTTGGTTACCGAAATTTCATCTAGGCCCTCAAATAAGGCAGATTTGTTTGAAGATTTCCTGGCAGACTCACAGCATCTGATGGTGCGATAGTATCAGAGTTATTCAACGTCACTTGGCGTTTTGAATAGCCTCTAGGAATCCAATTGGAAATCGCCCATAGAAACATGAACACAGATGGGTGATGCATTGCCATGCTAATCGCAAGGGAAACTTCAGTGGATGAACGCGCAACTTCATGGAATTCATGCTGTTGCAAACATGTGATTTTCAGTGCTCCGAAACTCCAAAAAGGTACCCTCTGGTAAACTAACCTCATATCTATTAAAAATTGTCCATTTATAGTTGAGTTACCGATTAAAGATGGTGATTTTCCATAGATTTTTGTTAACGTTTACCAGAGGGTATCCGTTGGTTATCTAGATTCTCTAGATCTTATCCAATATAAATGGGTAAATCAACTATAAATGGCAAGTTTCAATAGCTATGAAAACGTTTACCAGAGGGTACCTGAAATCTGCCTTTCGCACTTTGATGGGGAAACTCTCCCGATTTTTCCCAGGGGCATGGTCCACCTTCGACCGCCTCGCTGATGTCGGCCTCGGCCTTGGCAGAGATGAGATATCTGGGTGATGAGAAAACATGAATAAACCACGAATGATGATACTATTACCATCTGGTTATTTAACATAGCCATGGAAAATGGCCCATTTATAGATTGTTTACCTATTCAAAATGGTGATTTTCCATGGCTATGTTAAATAACCAGAGGGTATATTATCCCATATTGGCCTGGATAATAATTCTTCGGTATCACTTGGATCATTTGATCAAAATAAAATGAATAATGAAAATGGCAATATGATTACATGATATTATATGTAGATAACATCACCCATGATAATCAATGGGATAATATTCATTCAACATGAAAAAATCAACATGAAAAAATGATCATCCCATATATCCCTAAGATTACATCCCATTAATGACCATCCATCCTTAACGTGATGGATCATAATCCTCTTACGGAATACATGATTACATGAGATATCATGGGATTTCAAATGTACTCATTTGGATAAGATTGCTAATATTTTTTTTTATCATGGCAAACAGTTGTTTACATTGAGACATCATGAAAATCAAGAGGGGCTCTGAATCCAATCATTGCATGATAATCACTCCAACAGATAAGATTATGTGGGATGACAATCCCATTCTCATAATCCCAAAGAATGCTTATCCAACAAAAACGGGACTATACTGGGATAATAGAAAGATAACCAAGATAACCATCAAAATGGGATTATAACATTTGGCCATTCTGATGCTATGACGGATGTCGTGATGGTAAAACAGGTACTTATGGATGATATCAAACTGCAAGGATATCAAGAAAGGGATGAGTTGGGCCCATGTTGGGCCATCAACCACCGGTTTCACTATTCCTATTATGATCCATTAATGCATACATTCATATACTATCATCTCATATTCTCATTGTCAGTATGCCACTGGATCACTTGGTGCATTTCAACCAATGAAGATAGGTCAAAAGACCTGGCTGGGAAAACCCACGGAAATTTCCCACGGGATCATCGTTCATCTACGGAAAAATAGGGTAAACGTCGCCATCACACAGCACCAGTTACACCCAGTCCGGGTGCCCTGCCGCACGCTTCAGGGACCTGGGCAGCGGGTTGCAATGTTTTTTTTTGAGGTGGCACCCCAGTTGCTATGGTTTTTGTTGGCTTATTACTACAACTGTTGAGTTTCTGGAGCCACAGAACTGCGCCCACGTTGCAGCACCAGTCATAGGTTGGACGATAACAGGTCTAGGGTATTTACAAAGCACATTGTTATAGGCAATATCTTGCAGTTGGTATCATGTATCATGCCCATCTCGACTTAACATACAGCCCGGTCAGTTGATGAGCAGAATGGCAAGGACCTACATCTGGGCAAATTTCATAATGATTCGCCAAACGGAAAAAATCGGTCAGTTCGGGTAGTCACCCTTGCATTCGGCATCATTTCCCAACAGGGGCAAATTCTAAGGGATCAACATCATTTACTACTTGTCCAGCTGTGCGCCCGCCATGGGCAACTCCAAAATATGCACCAAGAACTAGCGCGAAAAAAAACTGCAATTACAAGAGAAAGGGATTCTTTGCAGCAAAAATTGAGTTTCATTGGCTCAAGATCAGTTGGCGCCGCTGTTAATTCTGGACAGCAGCGAACAAATTTTGAATGCTCCCCGTGACTGCGCGAAAAAGTCTCCGGTATCGATTCTTTACGGGGCCGGCCTACTCAAATAGTGATGTGTAGCCGCTGTATACCAGGCGAAAAAGAGACTTGTCGAAGTGGGTGGTTTGGGATACAGCGTAAAATCTTCCCCAGATGTAGTAGCTGCTTACGTTCAAGAATTTTGGACGCTGAAATGTCACCACTCCTTAGCACTTCTGCGTTCGATATTCTGGGCAAAAAGGATGGCGGTATCCCGAATATTCACAGGATAGACAGCAAGCATCTGTTCTGGAAACTATCCATGCGCCGTTTTTCCTGTTTCGTCAGGACCAATGAGCACAAACTGTAAAAAAGAGCCTTGGTTCGACTACAGCCTTGAACATTTACAGTTTTGGGCAGCAGTGTAGTGATAAATGTTTCCAAACTTTTTGGAGCGCTGCAAAATCACCTTTAGAAGTGCCAATGCGTCTAGACAACAGACTCACATGTTTACCATCTGCGGTTAGCATTGGTCCCCAGATGCAGCAAAGAATTTTGCGTTTGTGCGTGCTGTGAGGCTAATCACCAACATCCAAGGTTCCAGGTCCACTGGGCAAGTGCAGGAACAGCTGTGATGCAACTGTACCGATGTGGGGAATCCGCGATCGACCAGGCAGGGCAGCTGAGTCTTGTCTGATGGGGGTGACCTGGAGCGAATTCTGATGGACCAATAGCTAGAGTGGTCTATTTCACTGGCTTCACTGTTGGATGTTTGGTTGATCTATATTCAAATTTAGATGGCTTTTTATGGACCGGCTTTTTTTTTAAAAATTGGGATCGCAGCTATGCTGGCTCTGCCCCATGGTGTTGGGTGATTTTCCACACGAAGCCTCCAATGGGGTGCACCGAACATGCCCGAAAGCCGAGCTCCATGTTTTTGCCATCTCCAATGGTAGTTCATCCTACCCTTCCGAAGCTCAATTTTTTGCAAGGCACCAGACTAGCGCTAAGGTAATCCTGTTGGTTCACAACATCTGGATTGAAACCATCAACAAAAAGGATGCTGTTGACTATCGCATTGTATCCCATGATACTGTGGTAAATCCATATGGATGTTATTAATCCCATAAAGGGGCATCATGTGGATCATGTGGATGTTATTAATCCCATTGACAACACAATTTCATGCTTTTTTTTAATCCACATGAAATTGTCATAAAAATCAATAACCACCGCCAGGGTACTTTCCCGCCCCCGCGACAGCGTCCAAGTTGCGGCGCTTTCTGTTCACCGCTTTCTTCGTCCTTGTGAGAAAGGATCTGGTGAACAAAAACCGAAGGTGACCCCAAAACGGTTCGCTAAAAACAACCAAAATAGGGGTGGATTTCGATCCACTATATTCATGGTTGGCGAAAAGTTGTTGTCATGGATATGATTGATTTGACATTGATATAGTGCTTACATATGATGATAGACTTAAAGTATATTATCATATTTACGCACTAAATATAAATACAAATGTTAAATCATTTTTTGTTGTCAATGTCTTTGCGATATACGCTTGTAGTTGTTATCACAAAAAGACACATGGCATCACCACGTGCTCTCCACTGATCAGCATGATCATAATATATTACCACATATTATTACATACATGTTTGATTGTACCCTCTGGTTCTTTAACATAGCCATGGAAAATGGCCCATTTATAGATGGTTTACCTGGGTTTACCTATTAAAAATGGTGATTTTCCATGGCTATGTTAAATAACCACACGGTAGACAAAAATGTGCACGAATAAAAATAGCTTTGAGAATATCAATCATAGTCAATGATAATGGTGATAACAACAGCAGAAGCAACAATTTTCTGGTAGTCTTTTACGGACCAGAAAGCTGGGTAAGCAAATTTCCATGGATAGTTTACCGGCCTGAAAGCCAGACATCAGTTCCACAGAACCACACAGGATGGGGCCCCCAGCTATAAGTTAGTTTATAAACCCCATGAGTATGTGATCAAATTTACCCAAATAGTAAACCCCATTAACATCCATTAACTATAGTTTAATATCTACCATAAACCATAGTTAAACCACTTATTTTAGGGAACGTAGCTATCTTGGGGGTCCCATCCTGTAGATCAGAAGCCCGTCCACCTAATAGCCCAAAATATTCAGCAAGCATAAACACCGAGAATATGGTCCCAAGTATATGTAAATGCTGAACTAAACCATGATTTCTTGCTGGTGATTAATGTAGAGGTAAAGGGATTCTTGAATTCACACTGAAGGCCACAACCATGATTGGATCCAAGCTTGAGCCATTTTTTTTCTGGGATGGCTATCATATTTTGGGGAAGGAATGAGCAAACATCAATAAACATCGATAGGCCATGGTAAACTTGTGATATTCTGACATGTGACATGCAAAATATCAAGTGCGACTCACCGCATCAATTGTGACGAGGTGGTTTCAGCTTCTTTTTCCCTGGTGATCACATGCTTGAAAGAATGGCTTGCTGACATGGGTGGAGTTCAACACTGTCTACCTTAAAACCATTCAACTATCAAATCATCAATCTTAATAGGATTTTCCATTCTAAACCATCCAGCTATTGAGGATCCCCTTTTTAGGATGGAGTTCCACACTTTTTTTTTCAGACAGTTTGTCGTTTTTGTTTTAAATCGTCCATCCCTAAAGGCTGATGCCCGACAGAAAACCAACCTCCGCCGGTGGATCATTCATCTTCCCGGCTTTTGACAATTTTTTTTCACCAATATGTTTTCCAAGTTTTCACCACCATTCCCATCATCCCCCGTTCACATTAAACACTCCCAGAAACCATGGTTTAGTAGATGTACACATATTTAGGACCATACAATAGGGGTGTGGTTGTTTAATATTATAAGGGTTTGCATTTAGCTTGTATTAAATTATTAAATCACAATATTATATGGGGGTTTCCCAAAATAGGGGTACCCCTAGTTATCATCCATTTTGTGTTAGGATTTTCCATTCTAAACCATCCAGCTATTGCAGTACCCCAGTATCACCCCTTCTCATATCAGAATATATTACAATCCCAATGTGTTTAACACAATTTCTTATTATAAAAGGTGTGTTATATTAATCTATTTAATATCAATATATGATTGGATTAACAACTGTCAATTTTATGATAATTATCCCATACCATGAACAACAGGAAATTGGATTGTATTAATCTTCCTCCAACTATAGTATCATAATTAATCGAAGGAAGTTTAGAAGTCAAACTTCTGACAATATGGACAGATGAAAAGCAGAGCAGGGCAGAGGCAGAGAGAAGAGAAAGATTAGAAGAGAGAAGAGTAGAAGAGAAAGAGTCAGAAGAAAGAAGATACAGATGCGCGAAAAGGCAGGAAAGTCGCGATTCACTGTGTTTTTCCAATGATTTGTGGCTCCGGAGGGTCGAAAAGTAGGCTCGCTAAAGCGGCGGGTGCGGAGCCAGCTGGCCACAGGAGCGATGAAAAATTGCACGCCGTTGTGGCGCGAAGCACATTTCGAAGTCAAAAGTGTTAAAAACTGGCGGTTTCGGACCACTTTTGGAAGTTGAGATGTCGAAAAAGTGCACGCCGTTGTGGCGCGAAGCACATTTCCAAGTCAAAATGTACAAAACACCTCAGCTTCGGACCACTTTTGGAAGTTGCGATGTCGAAAAAGTGCACG